GTCTCTACATCGGATCCAAAATAATGTGAGTAGAAAAAAAAATTTTCTAAAAGAATGTTAGCCTCACAGATCGACGCTTCAACATGATTTTTATTTAACACTTTCTTCTTAAGATCGTGCATTTTTTTGTTAAAAAAATAATAAAATTAATTAATAAGATAGTATTATTGAGTATGTTGAAAAATGTTATTGCTGTGAAATAAATTAGATGAATTATACCTCTCAAAAGGGTACATCCAACGAAATTGGACAAGGCCTCCAACTTTTGCCTCGTATGGTAGATGGATTGCCAACTGCTCCATTGAATCCAAAAATGTTGGAGGAAATGCTTTCTCTAACTTGCAAATGGTCTCCACAATTTTTTCCTCCCACATCTCCATGTTACTAACTTGAATAATCAAAGCACATAAAGCTATGAAGAAGTTGCTAACATCAGTTAAAGGACCCCAAACTGCATCTATAAGGAGATCACGAAAAGCAATTGGCAAGAGACGCTGCATGAATACATGACAATCATGGCTTTTCATTCCAGACAATCGAAAATCATGCATTTTGACATAGCGTCCTATGTTGGATGCGTACCCATTTGGGAATCTCAAATCCTTCAGCCACTGACAAACAAGAGCTCGTTGGTCTCGAGTAAGAACATATGTAGCATTGGGTTTTAAAGCTGTTCCATCAAATTGAGGGATCAATTCCAATTCAGGTCTATTGCAATATAGTTGCAAATCCATTCGAGCATTTGTATTATCCTTCGTACAACTCTTGTCATCCATTACAGTATTCTTAATATTATAAAAAAAAAATTTTTTCACAATGCATGACATCAAGGTTACGACGAATCAATAAATCCTTCCAATATGGTAGTTCCCAAAATATACTACGTTTCACCCAATTATGGAAAACACCAAATCCCGGGATTGATTGTTTAGGAAGTGATTGGCCAAAGATAATGTCTGGCAGCTCGTTAATCCGCTCCTCCATTAAATGACCATCTAGTTGTGGGGGGGATGGGCTGGTTTCAATTCTGTTTACATAGAAATTTTTTTTATCTCTACGAAATGGATGTGTAAGAGGTAGAAATTGACGATGACAATCAAAAAATGATATTTTCCTCCCAAATTGAAGTTGAAAAGCCTTATTGTTCTCCATGCAATAAGGGCATGACAACCTCCCATGTGTACTCCATCCAGACAACATGCCATACCCTAGAAAATCACTTACAATCCACAACAGTGCAGCTTTCATGATAAAATTCTGTTTTCTAAAACTGTCATAAGTTTCAACCCCATTTGTCCATAATTGATTAAGTTCATCAATTAATGGCCTAAGCAGAACATCAATGTTTTTCCCTGGACTTTTAGGTCCAACAATTATCATGGACAGGAATATACGCTTCAAATTCATGCACAATTCAGGCGAAAGGTTATAAACTGTAAGGAAAACAGGCCAACAAGAGTAAGCTGATGCAGAGGGGCCAAACGGATTGAAACCATCTATGCACAACCCAAGTCTAACATTTCTAGGTTCTGCGGCAAATGTTGGGTACGTTTCCTCAAAGTGCTTCCATGCTTGACTACCTACAGGATGAATAACTTCATCGGAATCATCATTGCATTTCAAATGCCATGTCATGTGCTCCGCCATTTTCCTAAACATGTGTAGCCGTTGTAGTCTTGGGGTAATTGAAAGGTACCACAACGATCTTCTTGGAACTGCTTTCTGCCTCACCACAGCCATATTCCTCAGTTCATAACGAGATTCTCCACACACCAGACAAGCATTTAAATTCTTGCTTTGCTCATCATAATATAAGAAACAATCATTAATGCAAACATCAATTTTCTTGTATCCAAGTCCGAGCACATTTATCATTTTCTTAGCAGTGTAGAAATCTTTCGGCACCTTTTCTTGGTCTTCTGCACTTAACAACTTTCGACTCAATGATAATGCCATCTCCCAGTTAGAAGCACTCATGTTATAATGAGTTTTCATGTTTAGCATTTCTGCCATCTATGAAAGAACAGTCACATTCTATTCCCCATTACCTATATGAACTTCTACAGCATGCAAAAGTTCATAAAATTCCCTTGCCTTATGATTTGGGTCCTCATTATATTCACCCTGTGGACCCATTGCATCAACTAACATTTCATGATACATTGCATCTGGCTCATTTCTATCAAACCCCAGGTTAGAAAATTCCCCTATAAAGTTTCTTGCTGGATTGTTGGATGTTTCTCCATGAACATACCATGTATAATAATTGTTCATAAATCCATGCTTACACAAATGCATGGAGACAACCTCAGGGTTCCCCCATTTCCTGCATCTACATTTGAAACAAGGACACTTGATCTTTGATTTTGCTTGGGGTCTAGAAAATGCAAAGCTCACAAAAAATTGTACCTCCTCTTTAAATTCATTAGTAACAAAACCAT